GAGGCCTCTGGCTGCCTCTTGCACTGAATCTGCCACGGGGCTTTTCTGTAACTCGAATTTGTTGTGAAGCAGAATGAGCAATGTTTGTAGACATCTGGGTCCCTGTACCCAAGTCCCAGACACAAATAGCCTCATTACAAGAGCCTGCTTATTGCAGAGGTGTAATATACATGTTGCTCTTCTGAGCAGACATCCAGGACACTTACTGGGCAATAGGAGTGGCAGCAGGCAGAGGCGGGTCCCTGACTTGTCCTGTGTGGCTGGAAGGGGAGCCTGGCTTACAGTGATGTGTTACTCAGTGTTCTGTGGCTGTGAGGAATGAATGCCCACAGTGAATCAGCTCACTAAGAAAAGGGGTTTCTTATGGTTCATGGTTTCAGGCCGCAGTTGCTTGACCCTGTTGCTTCAGGCCAGTGGTAAGACCAGTATATCATGGCAGACTACACCGTGTAGGAAGATTGTCCACTTCGTGGTAGCAAGGAAGCAAAGATAGGGACAGCCAGGTGCCAGGGGTTCGCTGTCCCCTTCAAGGGTTCACCATCGCTAGCTTAATTTCCTCCTATCCTCAGCGACCTAACATCCTCCCACTAGGGTCCATGACTTAGGGTTTCCATTGCTGTGAAGAGACACCATGAATACAACAACTCTAACAAAGAAAACATTTAATTGTGAAGGCTGGCTTACAGTTCAGAGGCTCAGTCCCTTATCATCATGGCGGGGAGCATGGCGGCATGCAGGCAGACATGGCGTTGGAGAATTCTACATCTTGATCCAAAGCAACAGGAAATGAACTGAGACACTGGGCATGGCTTGAGCATATATGAGACCTTAAAGCCCACCTCCATAGCGACACACTTCTCCAACAAAGCCACACCTCCTAATAGTGCCACTCCCTATGAGCTTATGGGGGCCAATTGCATTCAAACCCCCACAGTCCACTTCTTGCAATGTCCTAACTCCTTCCACTAGGTCCCACTTCAATGTCACTAGGTCCCACCTCCTAAATGTTCCACCACCACCCAAAAGCACCATGGCCAGGGACCTCCATCAGTGCACAGATACCCGGGGAGTATTCCAGATGTGGACTACAGCAGTGGTCACTTCCAAGAAGAGCAGAAACCCAGTGGCCTCCTCGGCCCAGGAAGGGGCCTTACAGGAAAGCCACTGTAAGCCTTGGACTGTTCTAAGTGTCCCCTTCCATTTGTCTAGTGATGCCTACCTGTGCAGGACCTGCTCAGCATATCGGGGAGGCAGAACTTAATGCAACAAGCAGGTTCTAGAACCCCACCATAGAAGAGAAGTCTATTGTGGAATATTAGTTTTATCATGCAAAGATGGGTTACATTTACTTATGTTGGGAAATATTTCTTTAACTATGTAAAGGTGTGTTGTCTTTGCTTATGCTGCATTTGTTTAACTATTTAAAGACGTGTTGCAATTATTTCACCTTGCCTGCCGAAGGCACCTGATTTGTCTAGCAAAAAGCTGAATGGCCAAAAAGCAGAGGAGGGATAGGCAGGGCTGGTGGAGAGAGAATAAGTAGGAGTATGAGTCTAGAGAGAAGAATGAGGGAGAAAGAGAGGGAGATGCCCAGTGCCAGCCAGTCAGCCAGGCAGCTGCCAGGGAGTCAGACACGGAGTAGGACATGCAGAATGAAAGAAAGGTAAAATGGCCTGAGGCAAAATGTAAATTGAGAGATAAAGGCTAAATTAAGTTATAAGAGCTGGTGGGACAAGCCTAAGTTAAGGCCGAGCATTCATAACTAATAATAAGTCTCCGTGTCATGACTTGGGGCTGGCAGTTGGAAAAAGGCTGCCACCGAAGTCTGTTTAGGAGGCCTTGCAAGTCCTCTGCGGGAAAAAGACCGAGTTCGATCAGAGCCATCAATTCCATATTTCCTCCTAATCGCTGGTGACGAAGACAAGTTAATAGAGGCAGGAGCCGAAGCAAATTAGGAGCTGAAGCTCCTCCTAATGACTGGGGATTTCCTTCCCAGCGGACAGAGTGGCTGTGCTTGCTATAGGCTGCAGAAGAGCAGCCGCCCCTGCTCTGGTATCCTAAGACCCGGCCCCAAAGACATGCAGGCAGAGGGAAGGTAGCTGTGTGACAAGGGAGATATCTGGAACATCTGGCTGTAACAGTGTGGCCACAAGCCACACAAGGTCAGAGAGTAACACCCCAGCTGAGGACCCAGAGAGCATGGTGCTGGCAGATGCTGGTGACTACAGAGCACTGGGTACTGCCGGCCGCTGGGGACTGCTGGCCTCTGGGTGGAAAGCACAATGGTTACTGCTCTGAGCTGCTCATCAAATGGAGCTTGATCACAGCCAAGGCCACTTGAGATAACTCAAGGACTTGATCCCTGGTAATGTGACAAAACTGTGTTGGCCCGGGAGGGACAGCAAATGCCAGCAGAGGCATGCCTGAAGAGGCTGTGACTAGGGTCCAGGGATGAGGCCTGTGTTGGACCATGACAATGTCTCAGGCAGCACCCACAGAAGCCTTGCTCTCTCTGCGGCTCCTTGCCGCTGCGTGTTTGCAAGCCCGATTCTCTGGGCACTTTTTGAACGCTGCCCGCCAGCACTGCCCGGCGATGGCACTGCCCAGTGCCCTTCCAGACCTTTCCTGCTCTCAAGTCAGCCTGTTCATTTTGTTCTTCATAGTTATCATCCCTCACTGGCCTAAAACATTGCCCAGATAATTCAGAGCGCTCTGTCTGGGCGCACATTTGACTTGGAAGGGCTCCTCCCAGTCCCAGACAGACATTCTCCTCAGGTGCCAAAGGGTTGTCAAGTAGCAGCAACCATGGCTCATCACTGCTGAGTGACAGGCCGTCGGTGACAACTGATAAAACCATGCATGTCTCTGGGACCTGGGTTTTTTTCTGTTTGTTTTGAGACAGGGTCTTTCTTTTCTTTTTACTTTAATGCACATTGGGATTTTGTCCACGTGTATGTCTGTATGAAAATCTCAGATCCCCTGGAACAAGAGCTATAGACAATTGGAAACTGCCATATGGATGTTGGGAATTGAACCTGGGTCCTTTGAAAAAGCAGCCAATGCTCTTAACTGCTGAGCCATTTTTCCAGGCCCTGAGACAGGGTTTCACTATGTAGCTCTGGCTGTCTGGAACTCACAACAATACACCTGCCTGTCTCCCAAGTACTGGAAGTGAAGACATCACTTAGTTAACAAAATGAATTTGGAATTTCTGTGACATGAAATTTAAAATATTTCATAGATTTTGGCTGTTATTAGGCATTAAAATACCTTCAGACAGTAGATATATATCTTTAGATATTTGCTTACTTAATTGCAAGATTCAAAGCTAACCCAGGGTCTAGAAAGATGATTCAGTGGTTAAAAACACTGGTTGCTTTTGCAGAGGGCCAAGGTTTGATTTCCTGCACTCAAATGATGGCTCACAACCATCTATAACTCCAGTTCCAGGGGATCTGCTACCCTTCTCTGATCTCAGAGCACATTAGGCATATGTATAGTGGACAGAGATGCATGTCTACATACATACAACACTCATACACATTAAAAAACAAAACAAAACCAACTTAATCCAGGGGCATGTTCATGTCTGTAATCCTAACACTTGAGATACAGAGATAGGATGCTGTGAGTCCAAGCCTGGCCAGGACTATGGGATAAGATTGTGTCTCAAAACAAAACACAGCCTGGTCTACAAGACCTAGTCTAGGACAGGCTCCAAAGCTACACAGAGAAGCCCTGTTTTGGAATAAAGAAAGTCAGGATAAATTAAGTTCTAAGAAAAATGGTTGTTGAGATAGAAGTTAGTACCGGGTGTTGGTGATGCACGCCTTTAATCCCAGCACTCGGGAGGCAGAGGCAGGCGGATCTCTGTGAGTTCGAGGCCAGCCTGGTCTACAGAGTGAGTTCCAGGATAGGCTCCAAAGCTACACAAAGAAACCCTGTCTCAAAAAATCACAAAACAAAACAAACCCACAAATCTGTCGAGGTTTAGAGACGAGTGAAATGGCAAAGGCAGAACACAATAATCAGAGTGAAGCTCAGTCCTGCAGGGCCAGCAGGACCGCTGAGCCAGGAGACAGAAAGTGCTCACAGAACCAAGGCTCACGGCTTCTGGCAGCTGCTCAGAGCCATGGTGGCCAGCCCCAGCCCATCCTCATCTCAGGCATCTCCCCTTGTGCCATGGGGCACACTGAGCCTGTTTCCTAGTTGTAAATGTTCCCCACCTGCATGTCTGCTAAGGCACACACGTGGAGAAGTTTCTCTCCTTCCACTTTGTGGGTCCCAGGGATCGGACTTGGGTCCCTCAGGTCCTCTCCTAGGTTTACACATCTTGCTCTGTGGCCGATGTCCACAGTGACAGAGGAGGGACAGGGGGTCTTTAAAGGCTGGATGTGGCCATGGCAGGGCCTTTGGACAGTACAGGTGCTGCAGCCTCGCCTTTAACCAAGCGGTACAAGAGTATCTGCCCCGGAGCTTCACAGGCAAGCGCGAGATGCCATTTACAAGTAGGAGCGACTGGCTGCCCTTCGTCTTCTGTAAGCAAACTCATGACGAGGGGATGCCAGCCGGAGCAGCATTTGGGAGCCATGCCAGGGCTGGCACATGCTTGCTTGGCCCATGCTGTGAACGGCACTATCATTATCCTTGTTTCGTAGTGAGGGAAACTAGAGGCTTTTATCTATTCGGCCAGGATGTTGGATTCAAACCGTGAGCAAGGGCTGGGCTGCCCTTCACTGATGAAAAGGAGATTTTTTTTTAAAGGGGGAGTAAGCAAAAAGCTATTTATTTATTTATTTATTTTTAAGGAAGCATTTGACCTTAAACTTAACAGAGCAGGGAGGGTGATGCTTACGTCAGCCACTGTGGACTTAAGCAAATCAGCTTATTAAACTAGCAGGTCTGAAAGTACTTCCTGGTTTTGTTTATTCTGGAAATCTGTTTTGAGTGACTAACACCATTATTTCAGCCAAGGTGGAAACAAAAGCTTGCTGAAGTCATTTACCTGCCACTTCATTTATTTTTGCGAGTCACACTTTGCCCCGCTGGTGTTTGATGTCAAGAACGTTTAGGCGGGCTGGAGTGGTGTCGCAGGGTTAGGAGCACTTGATGCTCTTGTAGAGGACTTGGGCTTGGCTCCCAGCCCCCATATCTGTCAGCTCACAGTGGCCTGGAACTCCGGCTCCAGGGAATCCGACGCCCTCGCCTGGCCTCCCGCGCACCTGCACGCACACCCACACCGAGACACAAAAAGGGAAAGCAGTTAGGACTTGGGTATAGTGGCACTCCTCAGGCGGGAGGACCACAGATTTGAAGTCTGAGCCACAGAGGAAGATTCTGTCTCTGAGAGGAACAGGAAAGTGCAACCACAAAGATACAGTTTACCCCGAGGCAGGAAGAGAGGCCTTCCGAAAGGAGCTGACAGCAGTCTGGCCCAGGGTAAGAGTCTGGCGAGGTCCCGGGAAAGGGACTTTCCCTTTCCGCCCCCTCCATGATGCCTGGTGGCCCTGCCCACCTTCAGCAGAAATTCCCCAGCCACCCTCGAGGATTTCCTATTCCCTGACCCCTCGTTCTGCTCCCCAGACACCCTGACAGAATCCAAAGGGAACCCACTTCTCTCAGGTTGAATTCGGTGCCAAATAAAATCTCCTTGGGATTCAGCCAGCATCAGGGTTGACACTTTTCTGAAACAGGAAAAGCAACCAAGATAATTCCTAAAAACAAAGGTCTGCATCTTTAAAAACCAAACTTCAAGATAAGCGTGTTCCAAGAACATTTCAAAATAAGAGCGTTCCAAGAACATTTCAAAATAAGAGTACTCCGAGAACATTCCAGAACAAGTCATCCTCACCTGTCCACTCCCTCAGTGTTCAGAGTTCATTTCCAGTCATTATCCCGTGTCACCCCAGTGAATACCCTGTCATCTCCCAAGTGGGTGTGGAAGGGCACCCTCTGCCCACTGAGCAGAGGGTGCAACCCCATGCAACCCCAGCCTCGGTGCCATTCCACAGGAACGTTGCCCACATTCCTTAGCTCTTGACTCACTCCTTCTCAGCCTCTCTAAGAAGATTATGTTCCAAAGCCTTCTGAATTCTTCCCCTCATTCCCGATATTACTGCTTTTTGGAAGGTACGCACAGCAGCTGCCACCCACCTGGATGTCTCCCATTGTGCCGGAGGCTTCCAGAGGCAGCACGCCTTCTGTTTCTGTGCCGCCCCCAGTGCGTGGCACAATGCCGGAGACCCAGTGGGTATTCAGTAAACACCGAACAACGGAACAGACACCACTGTTAAATACTACAGAGCAAGAAACACCAGCGGGGAAAAGTCTTAAGACTTACTTCCTGCTAGAACATTGTGTTTCTTTGCAGGCTCGAGCTGAAATCCTACAAAGTGAATGAGCGCTCCCTGGTGGCTGCATGCGGTAGTGCCATGACACTTGGAAACTGGGTGGCGAGAGGGATATCCCAGCGGTGAGCCCAGATCACCAGGCTCAGAAGCAGAGACAACATTAGCTGGGTCACAGTGGCTATGAACACAACAGGGGAATCTGATCAGCTCTATTACATTTAGATGAAGAGACGTTAGCAAGGTCACAACCACGGACCTTGTGGAGAGCTTGACTGATGGATGCCTGTAAAACCTGCACACAGTTCTGCAAGGATACCTACAGTAGCTCTACTTAGAATGGCCAGAAAGAAGCCAGCTCTCAAGTGCCCACTCTGGGAATGGACTAGTCAGTGGCATTAGGCAATGTCTGGAGCGGGCTTATGCCCAGCAGGGTGACCAGCAAAACCATGATGTAGGAAAAGACTTACAATTCTAGTACTTGTTTGTGAATTTTGAAAACAGGTTCTCTTTCCTGCCTCCAACTTCTCTGAGCTCAGGCTGGACTTGAACTCATGACTTTCCTGCCTCAGTCTTCCAAAGGTTGGGATTATAGACGGGGACTACTACACCTAGCTCAATATGATGCCATTCATATAAAGTTTTAGAAGGGCAATAATAGGGGAAAATATAGCAGAGGGAAAGTCTGGAGTTAATTGCACAGACAGATTACTTTGTCTTTTTAAAAATGAAGTTGTATGGGCTGGAGAGATGGCTCAGAGGTTAAGAGCACTGGACTGCTCTTCCGGAGGTCCTGAGTTCAATTCCCAGCACCCACATGGTGGCTCACAACCATCTACAATTCAGTCTGGTGCCCTCTGCTGGCATGCAGGCAGAAGACTGTATATGTAATAAATAAATCTTTTAAAAATGAAGTTGTATTTAGTGTGTGTGCACATGAGTATGGATGTGTGCATGTGTCAGGGGTCACCTTGTGAGAGTGAGTTCTCCACTCCCACCATGGAGATAGCAGTCAGGCTTGGCAGGAAGTACTGTGACCTGCTCAGGTACCTCACCGGCTCAAGATGCCTTAAGACACTGAATACAGTGTTTAACATTTGCTCATTTTCAAAGGAGAAGATGAGAAAATGCTGAGGTTTTACAAATGACACGTGTGCTGAAGCATTTTTAGGAAGTGCCTAATGTCTGCATCTAACTCTGAAAGGAGAGGGGCTAGCACACAGCAAGTCACCCATGGCAAATGCTCTTTGCAGAACCAGGGGCCATATCTAACCACATTCTTGATAAAAGTTCCTCAGCTTCTCCTAGCAGCTGAGACAGCTTTATGTCAAAACTTTGTGGGGGAAAGCCACAGAGGAGGAACTAGAGGCATTTGACTACGGCCTGGGTATTTGGTGACTGACAGGGTTGTGATGTTATATTTGTGATCTTGCTGGTGCTATGTTGATAAGAAAATGACTTTAATTTTGGATCAACACACTGAAGTCTTCTTTTAAAGATTTATTTGTTATATATATATAGTTCTGCCTGCATGCCAGACGAAGGCACCAGATGTCATTAAAGATGGTTGTTAGTCACCATGTGGTTGCTGGGAATTGAACTCAGGACTTCTAAAACCAAGTGCTCTTAACCATTGAGCCATCTCTCCAGCTCCCCAAAGGGGCACTTCTTGTTTAAAATATTTACTTATTTTATTTTATATTCCAACCAAAGTTCTCTCCCTTCACCCATCCACTATTCCCAACAGGTAAGGGATCATTAAGTTGGGGCAGGACTAAGCCCCTCCCAGAGGAGCACTTCTGACCACTGGATGCTGGAACTTTCTCTGTCCAGGCTGTAGCCGCTCTTTAAGTTAAGGAGTCGCCGAGCCCTCACTTCTGTGCTCTTATGGTCCTCTAGGCCAGTTCATCATGTGGTCACCAACGAGCCAGTCAGGAAAGAGAACGAAGAAGAGCATCTCTATTTGCTGGAACACACTGGGGTTTTTAGAGCCCGAGGGAAGGACACTCATGGCTGGAGAGATGGTTCAGTGGCTAAGAGCAAAGGTGACTTGCAGTTTGTGCAGAGGACCCTAGTTTGGTTCCCAGACCCACATCCGACAGCTCACCAACTCCTGGAACTCCAGCTTCAAGGAGTTACTGGGTGTGCCGGTACATGCTGGGATCACAGCACTTCCTGAGGCTAAACAAGTCAGGATGATTTGCTGCAAGTGTGAGGCCAGCCTGGGCTACGTAGTGAGATCATCCAGCCAAGCAGCATCCCCAAGCCACTCCCCAAGGTGGAGGGGCTGACACCAACTAGCTGTACCTGGAGGAATGCCTTTGCACCCTGCCTTTGCCTCACAGCCCCCCAGTCATGTGACACACTGTCAGCTCTGTCCAGGCCAGTGACCTAGGGCAGTGTCTCCCACTGCCCTCTACAGTGTTAGTGTTTAACTTGGCCACATTGATCATTAGCATTTCCAGGGGTTTGCTTGGTCTTAAAACAGACAAACAGGCCACAGTAACACTTGATGAAACAGGACATCAGGGCAAAGTCTTTTAGAATCTCAGCCCTGTTTGCTTTGTTACAAAGCACAATGCAACAGCGAACACTTTCAAAGACTCCTTTGTGTTTAGAAGTCCCCCAAGTACAGAGAGTGTATGAACTCCCCGTGTGTGATGGGCACTCAGCTCCCCGCCACCCCCTCCTCCAGTGAACCTGCAGCCTCCAGGGTTCTACTTCCCATGGAGGAGAATGAAAGCTAGCCTCGGGTTGCCTTTCCTCCTTTATGATTAGCTCATGGATTGCCAGCTCATTTCATTATATCATTTAAAACTAAGTAATGATGGTAAATAAAACACAATTTTGAAGTAACACATCTACTTCATTATTCCCCACCCATGGGGATCATTCCAGCCACTGAATAATCAGCCTGCATATTAATAGTCAATCATGTATTAAACTCATGTCAAAATCCAGAGGTGATTACTGGAGGGGCCAGAGGCTCTTGTAAGCCCATCAACTATGCTAAACATTCTTTGCCAGACTGTCAGGGAAAGAATCAATGAGGAGAACCTGGCTGATGCTGCCACTCTGGAGAGGAATCCAAGTCAGGGGATGGGGAGAAGGCTCAGTTAGTAACATGCTTGCTGAATAAGCAGGAGGCCCTGATTCAGATCCCCAGTACCCTTGTAAGTCTGGGTTTGGTGGCTCATGTCTGCAATTGGAGTGTTGGAGAGGTAAAGACAGGTAGATCCCTTGAGCTTGCTGGCTGGCCAGCTTAGACTATTTAGCGAGCACCTGTGTCAGTAGAGAGTCTGTCTCAAAAACCAAGGTGGAAGGCAGGGGATGGCTCACACCTTTAATCCCAGCACTCAGGAGGCAGAGGCAGGTGGATCTCTGAGTTTGAGGCCAGCCTGGTCTACAGAGAGTTCCAAGATAGCCTCCAAAGTTACACAGAAAAACCCTGTCTTGAAAACCAAAAACCAAAACAAATAAACAAAACACCGCCCCCCCCAAAAAAAACAAGGTGGAGAGCAATAGAGGAAGACACCCAAAATTGACCTATGGCTTCTACAAGCATGCGCACACAGGAACATGCCTTCAAGGTTCTCCAGAGTGGTGTGTGGGAGGGGTGGACACAGTTCAGGCTGTGGTCTGGGGAAACCACATCAGCAGGGATGGGAAGGCGGTGCACACAGCCCCGGGAGCTGGCATTCTCTCTTCAGTCACAGCCTTCCAGGTCATTCTGCAGAGGTCACCGCAGTGAATGGCTAGATTGTATTTCATCACCAGCCGCTTTGCCCACTTCATTTATAAGGTAATGGAGTAGGACTATGGGAGAGGGACATTTGTACTCTTGCCTGGGTCCCCAGCCAGCCAGCAGCCAGCCAGACACTGATGCATTGAAGGGAACTGGTTTCTTGAGAGCGTCTGAGCTGCAGCCCTCAGATAAACACGCCCACTCAGCATTTCTAAATAAAATATCATTTTAAATAAGAACCATAGGTGATAGGAAAATAATTAAAACGAGTACCCTCCCCTAGTAACCTGTCTCAAAAGGAGGCCACAGATATTGGTAGAGAGGCAGTTAGGAATGGTGCGCCAGGCTCTCTGCTACGAAGTCAGTCCTTCCAAGGATGAAGGTGAGCTTCTGGCTACACAGTTGGCAGGCATGCTAGCGCAGGCACTAGTGTGCTCTAGAGTACCCTGCCACAGCCCAGAAGCTTGCAACCCCCAGGGTCTCTGGGCAGTGGCTCCGTCCTTGCCAGGGACAAGTACCTTGACAGTGACCTCAGTTACAGCCTGTCAATACCTGCTTTCAGAGAGTAGGAACTGCCTCTTTGCTCTGGCTGGGTCTGGCTCTCTGCGAAGGTCACCCCAGCCTGTCTTGGCATCACCAGGGACTGTTGCTCGGGGGCCTTCAAATAAGGGTTCTCAAGGAGCATTCTGGGGTCACTGGCAGGTCAATGTCACTGCAAGCTTCTGCCAATACCCACTGTCCCCATGCCCCTAGCTATAGCCTCGGGTGTTAAGCCTGCCATCTGGACCAGGCACTGGGAGCAGCCAGCTCTGATGAGCAGTGACAGCATTTCTATGTAAGATCCAGTATCGCAGGTGCCGTTCTATGTGTATGTGTGGAGCAGGGGGGCGGGGTGGGCAGGAACTGAAGGCTAAGGGAGCCCAAGCCCTTACTCCAGGCCAGGCCAGGCCAGGCTGCAGCTAAGGATTTCACCTGCTTAGTTCATGCTTGCTTCACACCCTGGAAAAATACACAGGTGAGGATATGGAGACTCAGAGAGATAAAGCAACTGACTCAAGGCCACACAGCTGCATCAGGAAGCCTGGGCTCCCAGTGCCGGACTGTGTACTAGTGGAGCTTACTGCATCTTCCTTTGTGGGGAGCAAGCCCAGACTATCCTCCCTGCAGCTCTACAGTCTGGCTCTGCCTCCCCAGGGGCTCAGCTACCTCTGCCTGAGTAGCTGCTCACAAACTGCGTGGAGGCAGGCTTCCTGAGGACACTGAGTTTCCCAGCCTCAGGGAAGATTTACAAGTGTGTGCAATGGTACACCATCTCCTCCCTCAGACCCTCCTGAAGCCTCTGCAAGGGCAGAGCTGCCAGCCTGAGTTACAAACGCAGAAGGAACTGCCGTTTAAATGTGTCTGGTTCACAAAGAATCATTTTAACGTACGTGTGGGCATGTCTGAGATCCAAATTTAACTTCCTGTCATCCCTCGGCCTATGTGGAGACTGACAGACAGGTGGAGATGAGAGATGGAGAGACAGACGCAGAGAAAAACTGCAATGAAGTGGGTGTGGGCAGGGCTACCTTGAAGAGGTCAAGAGGGAAGGGAAGGATGGAGATGGACTTGGGGAGAAAAGGGGGGGATCGAGATGGATTTGGGGTCTCAGCCACCCTCGGTGGTAAGGAAGGAGCTTGAGTCTCAGAAGCCAGTCATAGGTCTATGACTTGAACCTTTGACACAGTGGCCAGATGGCTTAGCAGGTAAAGGCACTAGCTGCCAAGCCTGACAAGCTGAGACAGGTTCCAGGGACCCTCGTGATGGAAGCGAAAACTGATCCTTTAGAGGCCTCCGGAGATGCAGGCTGGGGTCGGGTTTCTGTTGGCCTATGGGACTGGCTTCCTGTGAGACCACAGTTCATGCAGACCCAGAGGCTCAGCAGTGCGGATCCATTAGACCCCCGAGCAGCTCTGCCTTGCTTTGGACACCATTTGTTCTGTTGGTTGGTCACACGGCTGGAGTATGACGGGATGCCAACAACA